GATGAACCTATTCCAGTGCTTCCTCCTTCTTCTACGTCTTCTGACTGGTTAAGTTATTCGTGGTGGACTGTTATTAGGTCTTAGGGGTATCAGGTGTGGTAGGAATGGGGACGTAGCTAAACTGAACTTACCTTTAAATACAAACCAATCTGTCTTAGCAGCGCATTCCTAATCACAATTGATTGATCACTGGGTGGTGATCAATCTCATGCTTGTCTAGTCCTTATTAGTGCGGATCGAATGCTATCGATCATGTGGCAATGTGGCCACCTGTCTAGGTGACTCGACACTGTGGACACTATGTATTGAGATTTGGATGGTGGCTGGAGGTAGTCAACTAGAAACCCTGGACCCGGGTTTCGTGCTACTTGGTACTCGTCAGCAAGGTGTACCTGTAATCATGAGGGAACTGGTGCTACCTGGCGGATTCGATCTCGTGTCACCCAGCTTCGCAGTCAGAGACGTTACCACTGAGCTATCCGAGCCGTGACTAACCTCCTGTAGGACTGAGATGTATTCGAAATCACGGCTCGGATAGCTCAGCGGTAACGTCTCTGACTGTGAAGCTGGGTGACACGAGATCGAATCCGCCAGGTAGCACCAGTTCCCTCATGATTACAGGTACACCTTGCTGACGAGTACCAAGTAGCACGAAACCCGGGTCCAGGGTTTCCTGTTGACTACCTCCAACCACTATCCAAATCTCGGCGCATTCCTAAATAGCTAATATGTTAGCCTTCCATACATTTGGACGGGGTGTAATCTGATCGTATAACATGTCCCGTTGCTTCTTCGATCCTAGGATTACCTTAAGGAGTCTGCATGATCGAGGTTCAACATTGTCGTCGGTCCTCTTACTCCTTTTAGCCAGTTTTTTGACCTGAAATCCTTGAAAATTATCTGGTAAGATATTACGAATATATTCTCCCAGCTTCTCTAGATCATGCGCGTGTCTAATTTTGGGATCAGGGTCGTTTAACTCCAGCAATTTACTCACAACAATATTCGATGAGATTAGATTCTCCTTCTCAGTCACGCCAGGGAGGGTTTCTCTCTTATCATGAGATTTTGGTAGTGCACCTTGAGATTCACAATGTGAGCCCAATAATGACTTGCTAACCAGCTGCGTAGTGCCTACAGTCTTTTTCTTTTTGTCTTGTTTTCTCCGTACTGGAGTAATTGGAACGGTGACGGTTCTATCCAGATCTTCAGTTTCCACTAGAGGTGCATGGTTACCAATATCATTGTCAGGTGGTACTAAACCCTTCGTTAATGTTAACGGAAATTTCATTTTTCCGTCACAGTAGGGTGTTTGAGGCGTCTCGTAACAGCACGTACTATACTGACACACTCTTCACTGTCAGTGCTCGTGTTATCAGTGCAACCACCATCGCTTTTCTTACAGGCCAAAGCCAATAAGCTAATAATATACTATATTAGCAATCTTTTATTTGCACAGCAAAATATGCAAGGCCAATGCGAGTTGGGCTTCGAGCAACTTTTGTATGCGGTGGGACTTAAACGGGAGCACATCTTATGGAACCCTTTTTCGGACTCATCACGCTTCATTACTTCGTCCACAGGGAACAAACAGTTTGGCTGTCCACATTCATGAGTACTACCAGCCATTAATGGCTGGTTGTCAGATAAAGGTTTAAAACACAATATGAACGCAAATGTCAGTCAGTGAGTAAACAGTACCACTTGACAAACTTTAGCAAGAGTTCAAACCTTAACTAAAGTACTTTAATATAAAGTAGACCAAGAATGCTTTTGATGCAACAATTACACAAAAACGTAAAGGAGGGGAAGTAGCTCTATTCTTTAGGAATGCTATCCCATTTGCCATCATCGATAGTGTATCCCATGAGAGTGGGGTGTGCGAGATAGTTATTTGCAGCTTGAAATGCAAGGGACAAGAGCTGCTGATTGGTTTGGTCTATCGCAGTCCAAGCTGTGAGGCAAATGAGATCCTGTTAAGCAGTCTCAATACTTGGTCCCAAAGTGGTCGATGTCTAATCCTAGAGGACTTCAATGCACCTATGGTAGACTGGGAAAATCTGCGAACTAAATCGTCGGAGAATTCTTTCGAGCAGGAACTAGTTGATGGGGTTATCACATGTGCTCTAGTGCAACATGTGAAAGAAGCGACAAGGTACGATCCGGACACTGAATCATCCTTATTAGATCTTATACTGACTCACTATGAGGATGATGTTGCGAACCTCCATCATGTGCCACCCCTAGGTAAAAGTGACCACGCAGTTTTAACTTTCGACTTCCATATAACTGCCAGTCACGAGGACGCGTCAGTCCAGTCCAGACCCAACGTCTGGAAAGCAAACATACCAGACGTCATGCACTCAGCATCGTTGGTAGATTGGACAATAGACCCAGAGTCCTCCATTGAAACGGCCCGGGACGCATTTCGAAATTCATACTTAAAAGTTACCACACCTCACATCCCTTGGACTATACCAAAGGGGTCGAAAAACTCTCCACCATGGTTCAGTAGGGAAGTCCGTATCCTTCTCCGTAAGAAAAGGAAAATGTGGGATAGATTTAGGTTACTGAGAACTGACGAGTCAAAATCTCAGTATCGAAAGGCTCGGAATACTTTATTATTATTATTATTATTATTATTATTATTATTATTATTATTATTAGCTTTATTCAATATTATAATTTTGGTACAATATAGAATTCTCAGCGCAAAGTATTTCAACAAGTTTCCGTTTCTTTCTTCGTGGTCGGTCCTGGCGATAAATATTGAGGAATCGCCAGTTAGATGTTAGCACTTCAGTGAATGAACAACTGAATAATGTACATTCTTTTCGTTGTACATTGCCAGCAACCATATGGTCTCTTATTGAGTTTTCTGTAACTTTGACAACGAAAGGTTGTACACTTTTCAGAAACGCAGCAGAATAGGTTATGCGATTAATAAACATAATGATATATTAAAACAAACAACAATAGATAACTTGTTGAAATATCTAGATGGCAGGAACAGGTAGCCCAGATGCTCAAGCAGGCCGCCTCGACCCTCCGTAAGTCTAGAAAATTGTACGAAGGAAAACTTGTTAAGGAATCCATAGAATGTCCTAAACGCTTGTATTCCTGTATAAACCAAAGGACAAGGAGAAAAGGAAATATTCCCTCTGTATGGGGAGACAGTACTGCTGCATCATTAGTGGAGGACGGCTTTGATAAGGCTCAAGTGTTTTCGAACTACTTTAGCAACGTATATACCATAGAAGCGCCCTTCCCGTCAGCGTATACAGATCCCCCCATGCATACACTGGATAGCGTGACCATTAAAGAACTCGATGTCTTTGGTCTGCTAAATAAGCTTGACATATGTAAATCCACGGAACCCGATGAATTACATCCTAGGCTACTGAAGGAATTATCTAACTTCGTTGCAAGCCCTTTAAGTACATGCTTTACCTATCCGTTACGCAAAGTCGTTTACCAAAAGACTGGAAAAACGCCATAGTAAGTCCTGTCTTCAAAACAGGTACGAAACACAAACCTGAGAACTACCGCCCCGTTAGTCTAACTAGTGTGGTTGTTAAAATCTTAGAAAAGATTATTCGGAAGGAGCTGTTTAAGTATCTCGATGAAAACCGGATTCTCTCGGAGAAGCAGCACGGTTTCAGAATAGGTTATTCTGTCTCACTAACTTATTAGTGGCTCGTGAAAGCTGGTGCGCTCTTAAGGACCAAAAGCTACCTGTAGACGTCGCCTTCATTGATTTCAGCAAAGCTTTTGACAAAGTTCCACACAACCGGCTGTTACATAAGTTAAGAAAAGTCGGGATTGGAGGCAATTTATTGATGTGAATGAAAGACTTCTTAGTTGGTTGAACTCAAAGTTATCTAGCTGGGAAACTGTGCTTAGCGGAGTGCCCCAGGGTACAGTTTCGGGGCCAGTGCTATTCCTCTTGTATGTAAATGACCTTCCTTGTCTCCTATCATCATCGGTCTTGCTATATGCTGACGATGTCAAGATATGGAGAACGATACGATGTAAGAGTGATAGCTTAGAACTTCAAAATGACCTGAAGAAGTTGTCTGAATGGTCTCAAACATGGCAGTTGCCGATAAATACTTCCAAGTGTGTTGTGATGCATATCGGTCATCAAGGCACAGATACATACACGATGAATAACACTGAGCTACCTGTCGTCCAGGCATATAATGACTTAGGAGTTATCGTTAGTCAAGACTTAAAGACTACTGCACACTGCCGTGCAATAGCCGCCAAAGGTTTTAGAACCTTATGGTCAATACGTAGGGCTTTTAGTCATGTCGACGCTAAAACGTTTTTGACTTTGTATACAGTGTTCGTTCGTCCTAAACTTGAGTACTGCATACAAGCGGCTAGCCTCTGCTTAGAAAAAGACAGTGAGCTTCTGGAAAAGGTCCAGAGAACGGCGACTAAGCTGATTCCCGGAATAGCGAAGCTTCCGTATGAAGTTCGACTGACCAAGCTGAACCTTTTCCCGTTGTCATATCGCAGAACTAGAGGCGACTTGATTACAGTCTACAAATTGCTTAGTGATAAATTTGCACCTAACATGCCCTCATTTTTCTTGTCTTCCAAAACAGAGAATTTACGAGGACACTCCAAAAATGTTCATAAGCCGAGAACAAATTACTTGTCAGCTGACTATCGACTTTCCCATCGAATCATCAACGAGTGGAATTCACTACCTCAGCACGTAGTTGAGGCTCCATCCGTCGACTCTTTCAAAAGAAAGTTGGATCAACCGAGAGACCACCATTACCAGGACTAACATAGGCCATGGAGCCTCCTGTCCTTCCCAAACTGAAACTGAAACTGAAAAGCAAGGATTATCACGAGTACGATATCAGTATCATCGTGGCTTCGTCCTATATCGTGCATCATTACGATGGCATCGTCTTCGTTACTTGAATGATGGACATAGTGTGGCTGAATCCTAGTGTCTTGATTTGACCGCTTCTGCAAAACTTCACGAATTGTCGATGTTACGCGCCAATCATCTTCTGACAGTTTGACCTTCAAGTGCTCAGCAGCTTCTGTCAGCGGGACACTCCTGAAGCGTTTTGTTGTAATCTACGTAACGTTCCAACTTCCTATCTCGTAAGTTCATGGTAAACTGAGATTTTTATTCAAATCGTCATTCGCTATTTTCCTTTTTACATTATTGACGCCAATTTTCCACGCAGAATCCTTTTTAAAAAGGATTTAAAAGAGGTGAATTCACCTCTGGTTACTATTAAAATTTCAGTTACAATTTGGAAATGACAGAAGGCTAAATTTGCATGCGTTAGTTCTGCAAATTAGGTTGTCTCAGTTCACTCTAAGGTCCTTCTATCCAGCAACTAACCTTATTTATTTTTAGCAAGCACTAATTTTAAGTATAAGGAGAGACATTGTCTAACAAGGCGACCCCCCAGCACCACACGAACAATGGACTCAAATACTTACTTACTAACTTACTTACTTATGCCTGTTACTCCTAATGAAGCATAGGCCGCCGACCAGCATTCTCCAACCCACTCTGTCCTGGGCCTTCTTTTCTCGTTCCATCCAATTCTTGTTCATTTTTCTCATGTCTATTTCCATTTCTCGGCGTAATGTGTTCTTTGGTCTTCCTCTTTTCCTTCCACCTTGAGGATTCCATGTGGGGGCTTGTCCTGTGACGTTGTTGTCCAACTTGCGTCCAATGTGTTTCACTGATCCCAAGCACCTCTAGGTTGTATCTCCTCATTTCTGCAGCAATTTGGAAGGCTCTCCCGGTGTCCCACATTGTACGAATATTCCATGTACCTAAATAAATGGTCGCTCTGGTTGTCAGAAGGGGCATCGGCCTCGTGACTTCCGAAGAAACTCGGCTTTCATCATGAGGCGTCATAGTTCTTCTAAATGAAGACCTTCTGACTCCCAGGGCACAGTTTAAAAGGTTTGAATAATTTTTTCTGGTTAGCGTTTTTTTAGCGAGTTAGTTTTCTACGGGATGTGGTCGCTAACCCCATCCCCAACCCTCCTCCTTTATACGGGCTTGGGACTGGCAGTAGCCCCCGGAGGGACTTCAGGCGGACTCAAATAGACCATGAAATTACAAGGAAATAATTAGTAACATTTTTATGAACAAACTACCTTCCTCACTTCACCAAATTCAAACGAAGGGTTATGAACAGACTGTTGTTCACTTATCATACTTTGTACAGCTTTATTCCAACAGTCTAGAGTCTGTCTATAATGATAATACATAAATCATGACTAGTAAATCCTATATTCGGATACGGATGGATATGTTATGTGATTAAGGGTAATCAGTAAAATTTCCAGGAATTAAGTATTGCTCTAGTTGTCATTCACTAAAAAGAAAAAAATTGTGATTATAAAGTATTTCTTCTCTGAAGGGATAAGAATACATTGGAACGTATCTAAAAGCGAGTCATGAAATCAGCTCGGTGACTCAAATTCAAGTTTTATGAATAACACCTCAATTCAATAAACCTTTACCCATTAAGGTATAGACGTTTCAGAGGTGATCTAATGACTAATAACATCCTAAATACTCATTGACAGCCTTTTAAATACCTCAGTCCCATCGTAAACAAGACAGCAAGACGGACTGTAGGCATGCCATTTGCTCTTAACGAGTAGTCAAATTCCGGAATTCGCTGCCGGTTGGGGTAGTCCAAGCGACTTCGCAGGAGTCCTTAAAGTGAAAACTTGACATATTCTAAGGAAAGTATCACTATGATTTATTAATACTTTTTTCTCTTTTATTGTTTAAATGTACATAGATTTTTACGTGATGGGTTCGGTGATCCACTGTTATTAGATACGGAAGCCGTTTAAGTGAAAGCTTCTATCTCATCCAGAACCTCTCGCACTCATTTCGTGTCCCCACTCTGAAATTGCTCCAGTGCATTCCAGTCCTTTTGAAGTAAAGGGATCACTAAATTTCCATGCACTAATTGATACCAAATAAAACTTGAAGAATTATTAGAAAATTCTATTTTTGAAAATGCACTTCAAAGTTACTAGTGCAGGGTTTTGCTCTAGTGGCATTTTTGTCGCAGTCAAAGCAAGACCTTAGATCATAGAGTACTAAAACATCTAAATCTTTTCTACGTAATGACGCATCTATAGGAGAATTACCTAGTTTATATGAATAATTTTTAACATGTCTCAGACTGGTTAACACATGGAAGAGTTTAAAGTTAGTCCATTGTTATCCGTCCATCTTTGAATTTGAGTGAGATCCTGAAGTGCAAGCTCACCATTCTGTTTGAACTCTTCTCTCCAGGGCTTAACACTGCCAGCAAAAAGTGATATCTTAGAGGATGTTTGCTGGGAAAGGCCATTTATATATACTGGAAAGTTCTTACTACTGGACACTGTTGGATTCCACTAGGACATTCTATAACCTAATAGATAAGTGATTTATACAGTTGAGTGTGTCGATCGCTTCACTTATCTTGGAAGTCTCATCAGCCCTTGTGGTTTGGTGTGTGACGGAATCTCAGCACGGATACAGAAGGCTCTACTAGCTTTTGCCAACTTGCGTCATTTATGGCGTAGGCGAGATATCCGTCTATCAATCAAAGGACGTGTTTACTGCGCAGCAGTTCGTTCCGTCCTTCTTCATGGCAGTGAAACATGACCGGTAAGAGTTGAGGATATTCGTCGGTTACTAGTATTTGATCATAGATGTCTTCGAAACATTGCTCGTATATCCTGGGACCACCGAGTAAGTAACGCAGTTGTTAGGAAACGAGTACTAGGTAAGGATGGCAAATCAATTGATGAAGTAGTGAAACTTCATCAGTTGAGATGGCTGGGACACGTGTTACGTATGCCCAACGACCGACTACCTCGACGTGCTATGTTCAGTGGTATAGGAGTAGGTTGGAAGAAAGCTAGAGGCGGCCAAACCAAAACATGGCACAAGTCCATGAAGTCACTGACAAGTGGACTGAGTCATGTCGGTAGGTGTAGACTACCTGGTTAGGGACCACGAGATGATAGCAACCGATGGCTAGAGACCGTGAATGACATGGCTCAAAATCGTTTGCAATGGCGCAGGTGCATCCACTCTCTGTGTTCTCCCAAATTCTAATCTTCTGAATTCTTCATGTCCCTTTTTTCCTCTTTCCAAATTTATTTCACTGGATTATACTCCTTGAATAACATCTCCAAACCCTAATCTTCCCGATTACTGCTTATACTCTTGCTACCTCTACCACTACGGGATTTGAATCGACCACTGCATCTCTGTGCTAATGTGGTATGTCAACTCGAACTGATGTACGTACGTACGAAGTTCTGCGTTGTTACTGACTGACTGACTGAGGCATGACTTAGGCCAGTCTACCAGTGGCGACTGGATACCTATAAGGATGAGCTATTTGACAAGAAATATGATCGGGCCTACCAGTTTTCGAAAAATAAAGTTACATTATATCGACCTTACGCTTAAGATGAATAATCGCGGTCCATCTATCCACTGCAGTCATTAGGTTTGTAGTGTATGCAGTACGTAGAGGAATGTCCAGCAAATTTTACATATTTGTATTCAAAATTATCTTTTATTTATGTTACTTCCAAGCGGCTAAAATTTCAAAAAAAACCTTGTCGGCAGTGTTTCTTTGTTTTATGGTAAAATTGTAGCTGTTCGCATCGTCTAAAGTTGTACTATCATATTAAGTATTCACTTCTATTTTCAACAATTCTAATATTATCATTATGGGGCTGTGAAGGTTGCTAAGGTGGTCGCGCAATTTCGTGGATTGGTCGAAGTTAGACACTAACACCGTCGAGTGCCGGTTCAGTAGTCTAGAGGTTAAGTATTCGATCACTAGACCGAAGATCCCGAGTTCGAATCCCCCGAGCGGGACCGTAGTTGCGCACTGCTGAGGAGTCTCGTACTAGACCGTCCATTGCTTCCAGGTTTTCAATGGTGGTCTAACATCAATCGACTCATAATCTCAATCTAAAAATCCTAACATTATTTTCCAGTGGTACATAGCTTTCCACTTTGTTTGGATAAAGGACATAGTTTACGCAGTACCCATAAGATACCCAAGAGATATAAGCTGTGATGTGGATTTTTGTAAACTAGTTTTTAGTGGTCCCGTAATCATAAAGCACCGATTTTTTATACTTATTTTCCAGAAATAGACTTCATACATAAACCAAATGACAAACTTCGATGTAATATGAATCCCGAATGTCGAAAACCCGTTTTATTATGGGGTGTTCTTGGCGGGTTTATGACTGGGACTCTCGATTTTCTGCGAACAAGTAAAGAACGAAGGATTTTTCTACAATTTCGCCATCTTAGGTAACCTTCGTCGTGGTGTGCATGTTGGTTTAGTGTCCATAATGTTTATATCTACATGTGCTAAGTAAATCCTATTATCTAACATAACGTTACTCCAGCATAACATGCCATCATTTGAAGTTCAAGCGTAACCAAAAAAACCGGATGTCATATTTTGATTTTAAAAAGCGGTTGGATGAAGAACTAGCTCAAAAGCTTTTGTTATCACAACAAAAATATGATGAAAGCCCTACAACTAATTGTAGACTATGAATAGTAATTTGAATCATTTTTCCTATCCAAAAAACGTATTCTAGTTTATAGATAATGGTCGTTTTGTTTTATTCTTGGTTATTGTAATTTAATGAACTGACTAGTTATTATCTATTGGGTCATGAGTTTGGACTAATCCACTCTCAAATCGACTGGTATACTTGAAACATTCGTTATCTGCTGAGTAATGCTGGTTATAGTCACATAATATGTGGCTTATAAATGAACACATCCGCAGTTTCCATTTACTAATCATCACTATACGAATCTAGGTGTATTCATCTTTACGCTAGGAAGTTTCGGAATATTCCAAGCTTAACGTATTAACTCCAAAAAATTATGATGAAGAATATCTGTTGATAACATCTTAGTGTGGCAATAGATAGAAAAATGTAAATAAATAATATTCAGCTTTAAATAGTTAGTCAAGCGATTTATTCGTGATTTTGAAGTAATTCAGAAAATATCCCAAACTAATGTATGCTGGTTGTTAACTATCGCAGAAATATAACCGGTGTACCATTGACATATGTATTAATGACTTATCCTAAAATCTCAGTAGGTATTTTCCGATCCCATATAATAGAATTATTTCCGAATTCAACAGTAAAAGATGTCTCCAACCTGCAAGGTTTTTGCATTTAATTCCAACATTCAAGATTAGTGGATATTCAGTTCTTACATTACTTTAGGAAAATATAACAGTAACGTGCCTAGTTTTGAATTATTAGTTGCTGTGTTCTGTTACCTAACTAAATGCACAATCACGGCATTGGCCAACATTCTGTGTAGAAGTTAATGATGCACCTTTGCCCCCCTAAGATAACTACCTGCTTCGCTTTGGGCACCCGGGCAGTATCACAGCCCACACACAAATGATGAACTCTCTATGTCTATGGAAGCTACTTTTCTCGATTCGGAAAACAATCAATTGATTCAAATTATTATCATTACAATTATTGTCATTATTAATATTATTACTATTATTGTCATTATTATTATTTACCACATTATTCACCCTCTTTTATACTTATACAGCGGCTCGTCTTTGGTGGAAATTCGACTGTATATAAACGTTCTCGAGTCACTGTCCGGTTGAAAATTGTATGTTACCACCGAATATGAGTACTGAAGCAGTTTTTCTGAAACCACGTGCACCATTCAAACTGGCTGCCTTCAAAGTTTGCACACTTATGCAGGTTGGACAACAGATAGGGCTGACCGTCTATGGAAAGTCTTAATATCGATGTCTACTGCCTATCCGAGACCCGTATTCAAGACTCTGGTGATGTACTACAAATTCGCTCTTCATCTGTCACTTCAAAAAGCTTGTTTTACGTGCGCTTATCCGGGGACCCTGTGGCATCTTCGTCTGGTCTTGCTGGCGTTGGTGTCGCACTAAGCGCTAGAGCTGAGGCAGCACTAGTCGATTGGATCCCCATTAACAGTCGGTTATTTGCTGTTAGATTAGAAAGTTCCATCAAAGTGAGAGGAAATCGGCGTGAGAAACGATGTCTTTTCGTCATCTCGGCCTATGCCCCGACGGATTGAAGCCCGGATGCAATCAAGGATGAGTTTTACCACCAGTTATCTGTTCTTCTCCAGAAAGTGCGTTTGACAGATATTGTAGTACTAGCCGGAGACTTGAATGCTCAGGTCGGGCGTCTAGGCACAGTCATCGCCGATGTGCCACCTGGCATCCTCCCTCTGCATCCCAAGCCTGGACTCAGATTGATCACATCGCGATCAGCTACCGCTGGCGTGGTTGTGTACAAGACTGCCGCTCCTTTTGGAGTACCTATCTGGACTCTGACCATGCCTTGGTCTGCGCCAATCTTGCCTTACTTTTCAGTGGACAACGAAGCGACCACCATCGACGGATTGATATTAGCAAGCTGGTTGCAACTTCTGTTGCAAATAAGTACCGAACCGAGCTAGCCTCTAGGCTAGCTACTACTTCACCGAAAAGTATAGATGAGCATTGGTTGCAATTGCATGACGCCATGAAAATGGCGGGTACAGTCAGTTGTGGGTTTGCGAAACGTCCCGCTTTTAAGCACTGGGTTTCTTCTGGTTCCTTACAACTCATTGAAGCCCGTCGGTCTACTCCGGGTGACCGTGAGTTTGACCATAAACGAAGGATATTACGTAAGGAAATTGGGCAAAGCTTGCGTAAGGACCGAGAAGCCTGGTGGTCGATGCGTGCTAATGAGCTGGAAGCAGCAGCTGCATCTGGTAATTACCGGAAGCTCTTCCAGCTCATCCGAGCCACTGGCAGCAAGAAGTCTGGTGTGAGTGAAACAATCTGCGAGGATGATGGGATGCCAATCACTAACATCCATCGACGTCTTGGACGATGGGCAGAATTTTTCGAAGGGCAGTTCAACTGGCCTGCTGCTCTGGCAACATCGGTCAGACTGTTCTGCCCTCCATGGCCGGTGACGACTGATCCACCAAACGAGGAAGAAGTCCGCAAGGAACTCCAACTCTTGAGGCGTTACAAATCACCTGGCCCAGATGACTTACCTCCGGCTCTTTTTAAAGATGGTGGTGACTTTTTGACTAAGGAATTGACGACGTTGTTTACAAAGGTTTGGGAACTAGAGAGTGTACCAACGTCATGGAATGAGTCGATAGTTGTCCCTATCTTTAAAAAGGGTTCACGTCGTTCTTGTAGCAACTATCGGGGGATAAGTTTACTTCCGATTGCGTCCAAGCTATTGGCTTCCGTCATTCTTTGTAGGTTGTTCAAAACCCGAGAAAGATTGACTCGCGAGGAGCAGGCTGGGTTTCGTTCTGGTCGAGGATGTATTGATCATATCTTCACCCTCCGCCAAATGTTAGGACACCGCCATACTTATCAAAGGCCAGCAATCGTAGTGTTTCTTGACATCAGGGCTGCCTTCGATTCGTTGGACAGGACTGTTCTCTGGGATTGTCTATTGAAGAAGGGTGTGCCTGAGAAGTTTATTAACATCCTAAAAGCCCTATATACAAACACCTCAGGCAGAGTGAGGGCATACAACCATCTCTATCCATTGTCCCATTCGAGCAGTGGGGTTAGGCAGAGTTGCCCAATCTCACCATTCCTCTTCAACTTTGCCATCGACGACATTCTGGAGACAGCTCTGATGGATGTAAGTAATGGTGGTGTGGATCTGTTGCCTGGAGAAAGACTTCTCGACCTTGAGTATGCGGATGATAGTCTTAAAGTGCGATAATGCCCGAGCATGGAATCCGCACTTAATCAGTCGGCAATCAATGTCTTTATATACAGTATGTGCTTTGCACCTTCGAAGTGCAAAGTACTTCTACAAAACTGGCAGGATTCTGATCCTGTACTCACTTTGGGTGGTGAGCAAATAGAAGTAGTCGAGAAATTCGTTTATCTGGGTATCTGCACAGCTGTTGGTGGTGGTGTGAGTGATGAGATCAATGCACGTATAGTGAAAGCCAGAGCGGCTTCTGTCAATCTGGTCCATTGTTGGCGCCTTCGTGATGTTAGTCTGGCTGTAAAAGGTCGGATCTACAACGCGTCGGTGAGAGCAGTTTTGCTCTATGCTTGTGAAACCTGGTCTCTCCGAGTTGAGGACGTTAGACGACTCTCTGTGTTCGATCATCGCTGTCTCCGAAGGATTGCTGACATTCAGTGGCAACACCATGTCAGTAATGCAGAGGTTCGGCATCGTGTGTTCGGGCACAGAGATGATAATTCAATCGATGTCACCATCTTGAAACACCGACTTCGGTGGCTTGGACATGTTCTGCGGATATCGTCCCAGAGAATTCCACGTCGTGCATTATTTGCCGACTCTGGGACTGGTTGGAAGAAGCGGAGAGGTGGTCAGTGCATGACATGGTGTCATGGCATGAAAGAAAGCTGCAAAAGACTGGCTTGTGTTGGTCCTTCATGACTCCCTGGTTGGGGTCTAAGAGATGGTGCTACACAGTGGCTAGAGACGTTATCAGATATGGCTCAGAATAGAAGCCAGTGGCGATCCTGCTGTAACCTTCTTTTACTTTCTTCATAAAAAGTGGTTGTGTCTCCCTTACCTGAAAGATTTCTTCTGATTGTACCTTTCCGTTCCCTCATTATTACTACACTACCTTACACCAATCTCTTCATTATTGTTCTCTTTTTTGTTTACACTCCTTACCTTTTTTCTTTTTCCTTCTCTTTAGATTCTAATTGTTTTATGTGGCGCATTATTGTACCAATCTTTATGTGTCCAAATAATATATAATAATAAATAATAGTACCTTTTTGATGATGGTTGTAGTAGTTCTCCAAGTTTTAGCTCTGTACAGTTGACGTTCGTATTAAAGATTTCGACTTTGGTAATTGGCTGACAGTTGTTACTCATCATTACACTAACTCAAAATTTATACCTAGTATTGATAGATCTTGTCATTTTTAAACAATGCATTGTATATTCCAGACACTTCTGAGGTTTAAAGGTTAATGTTGTACTTGGCATTCACTTTTTGAACAGAAATTTCGAGTAACTGAGAGGAGATAATGTACGCTATATTAGTAAACTTGATACATCTTAATCACCCGGCAGATCCAGTGTTGTACTTAATGTCCTTCGAGAAAGACCGTAAACTATGAACAGCATAACCGTTACGAGCTGCCAAATCCATCGCGATCTGTTCTGGACACTCAGTTTATTATTTCGAAGGCGTTCCTTCGACGACTTAATTCCCATTAAACCATTAACCCTGAAAAATTGTCGTGTTAGATATTTTCCAATCATGGTTTTATATTGATACTACAACATTAAACAATGAGTAATATATGCCGGAATTTAATTTTATAGCAATTGGTGAATCGGTCGTGTCTTTAATGTTAACGTTATATGCACGATTTCACGAGCTGATATCGCTTTATTCCGGAAAAGTGAAGATTTTTTTAATTGTTGTCAAATAGTATTAAACACAGACATTGACTGATTTAGGTTATGTAACACAGCACAAAATGTATGCTTTCAGTAGAAACTGATCGATTTTTCAACCCCAAAAAATATATGCTCGTTGATACAAATCAAAT